ACCCTCACTGTTAAGAACTTTTTGCTTAAGTTCCTGGGGAACTTTTGATGCTTTAGGTTGTGGCTATTTCCTCTAGTTCTATCAATGGCCACCAGTGAAAAGAGGCCAGCACCATCCGCCTCACTGCCTCCCTTGAGGTACCTATGGACACTGATCAGGTCTCCTCTCAGCCTTCTCTTCTCCAGGCTGAACAGGCCCAGCTCCCTCAGCCTCTCCTCATAGGGCAGATTCCAGGCCCCTGATCATCCTTGCAGCCCTGCGCTGGACTCTCTCCAGCAGCGTCCAGTAGAACATGCATAAGCCACCACTAGAGAGCCAACGCGAGATGAGATACACCTTAGAGCAGACTGACCTCAGTTGCTGTATGTTCACGGCAACAACAGAGCTTACCACAGCCCTTACCTCAGGTCAGCTTCTCACCTGTCTCAATACAAAGAGCAACAGCAGAGAGCTACTGAAGAACAAATTGCTTTTGCAGCACAAGAGAGACATTCCTCACATGGAGGCATCACTGTCGATACGCTCAGCACAAAGTTCTCCCAAGGGATTAACTTTTATCCTGTAATAATTTTAATGGCATGGATATTAAGGCCCTCAAACTTCTCCCAGTAAACACCAGATTTCAGAGGCTGTGCTCTTCAGTTAAAAAATTCAAAACAAAGCCAAAAAAACTTCCATAAGCAAAGAAAAAGGCATATTTTATTTGAACTAAGAATATATATTTTCAGTAACTTGATTATATCAAGATTATATTTGGATTTTATAATTATCAAGAAAAATATTTTCTACTGCTCCAAAATAGCATGTTATTTATAATGACTAAAACTGCTAAATAATATTATCTAGGATAAATTAACCAAGACTCATAAATCACTAAATTAAGTTTCCTTGCTTGATGATGAATATGATGAATCATATTTTAATTTCTGCAAATTGCAAATAAGATATTTGACTTTTCATGCTACTTAACATGCGTGCTTTCAGTACAATAATGCCTTTCTGCACAAGTTTAATGGAGATATATTTGAATAGATACATATAGACATATACACACATGTATGTATACACACGTAATGTAAAGGAATCAGCCATCTGATGTGTTTTGGGATGGTGGATGTGCGAGAACATCTGTGATTTTTTCAGTTCCTCAATCTCTCAAATAATTGCTTTGACCTTCTTTAACAGTTGTGTCCAGGAAGCAGCAAAGAATCAGGCACAGAAAACTCAGATGCAGCCAAGATTGTACCAATGATGTATTGCCCTTTTGAGGTTTGCTTTGGCATCAAAATTTAAACACTTATCCTGATCTCGGGTCACCCAAATGCATACGTATGGGCACAGAGTCTTCCAATCGATCCCAGGTTTGCCCAGGTGCAAGATGCTGGCCTCACGGCACTTGCCTCATTTTTAAAGCTTGGCTGGCATGTTTTCCTTCCACTCAGTTTCTCACTCTCACTTTTTTCCCCCTTTGATATTAACTGAATTATCTTACAGCCCATAGTTGCCATTGATTAAAAATTCCATTTACAAAACATTTATCAAGTTCTTTGAAACTTGTTAGATTAAGCCCTTCAACAAGCAGTGGCTTTAGCTTGTGCTCCTTTTGAATTCCTGGCTAGCCACACTCTCATTTTGCTGTTATCTAAGGATATCAGCTGCTTTACTGTAATGCACAAACAAGCTTCATGCTTATTCTGTGACCAGCTTTGACATTTTCACAGGTGCAAGTAGCTTATATAATTGCAGCAGCTGAACAGGAGTTCACATTTCATAATTACTGAAATTAGTTTCAGAGCCTTCAGGAGAATGACAGATGAAGCAAAATAAATACACAAAAATTACTAGCTCTGAAATACACTGGAATATCTCTGATAAACAAAAGGAAAAAAGGCTTGTTTACTCTGGAAAAGTCACAGAATCACAGAATGGTTAAGGTTGGAAGGGACCTCTAGAGATCATCTAGTCCAACCCCCCTGCTCCAGCAGGGACACTCAGAGCACGTGGCACAGGGTGGCACCCAGGCGGGTTTTGAAGATCTCCAGAGAAGGAGACTCCACAACCTCTCTGGCAGGCTGTTCCAGGGCTCTGTCATGTATTTTACTTCTGTGCTAGCTGCTTTGACCACTGAAACCCTAAAGGGGGACCCTCTTCTGCCTACCCACTTACTTCTGTTTACTCATGAATTTTTCTGAAGGCTCCTGCCCATCTCACACAAGTCCAATGTTGACTCATTTTTAAAGGGTATTTTAAATCAGAACACATTCACCTAAAACTGAGGCTTTGTACCACAGCCTGAGAGCTCGTGCTGTGTGTCTCTGTAGCTCTCGTTTTGCTGTACTCCACTAGCGAGGAAAAGAGATGGGAGGGGGAAGGGCATGCCCATGCCTGAAGCACATGGATGGAAATTCACCTGCTTAGCACACGGCATAAACAGACCATCTCTAGTGCTATCTCCAGCTAGCTACACGCTGTGTGTATAAAGGGGAGGTATTTTTAGATGACAAGTGGCATTGCCTGGTTCAGAATACTTACATGTTTCATAAACAAGGGCGAAACATTTTAGCAACATTTAAGTGCCTAATTCAACCTTTACTTTTGGACCTGGCCAGAAGCGCAGATGTAAGTGCCTGCCTCAAGTGCAGAAAGTTGTGGAAAGAAGAAAAAAAATCATAGTAACATACAAATATTCCATCCCTGTAGTGACAGTGCACAGAAATACGTTTTTAAGTTTATGCTGCAGTAGAGAATGCCCACATAACTTCCAGATCAGGAGTTGCAGGGAGCATAGCAACAGCCTCAGCTTTACAATCAGATTAAGCTTGAATGAAGTCAGCTCTGCCACTACAGACAGCCTGAGAGACCATCCCGTGGCACTTTCGCAGCCTTCATGTCACCCTACACATTTGTCAGCACAACATTTTTCCAGCTGCACAGTCCAACACACTCAAGAAGCCACCTGAAGGTAGCTGTGCCTGTGTCCATGCAAACCCTGATGCCACTGCACACAGGGAACACTGAGGATAGAAAAGACCTCTTTTCTCTACCCCACATCTTTTCTAATCTGTCTAGATTCTCTGTTGACTTCTGGTGCCACCACGCTTAAACTTTCACTCTTATTTCAAAGCCAAACAACAGAGCTTCACATCACCTTGTTTCTTGCATAGGCCAACTCCTGCGTGACAAGTAGCAGAGAAGTGGCTGGTTGGCAGAGCAGCCTCTGAACTGGGCTGAGGAGTGGTCACACAAATAGGTCTGTGAAAATATGGGACATGTTCTTTAACTGAAGCCAGCTGGGCTTGTAGTCTGGCATCTAGACAGGTAGGTCAGAGGTGAGCTGCAAGGTGCCCTGGCTGCACACACGGTAAGAACATATGTATTTAATCACACAGTGAGGATACTCTCGCAACTGAGGCTCAACAAGGAGACAAGCGGTGCCAGCTGGGGAGCAAGGCGCACAACAGGTTGGCATGAACACAGACGCAGTGGAGGCTGCTCTGCTGAGCTCCAAGACACGGCTTGGGCACGGGCGGGCTCCAGCGCTCACCACTGAGCACCAGAGGGCAGAACTACCCTCTCTCTCTGCAAACCCGAGCCGCTTCCCTAGAAGAACCCAAGCACTGCTTGTGGCATCAAGTTGAGAACAGGATGACAGAACTTGAAGAGCTCTGCTGGTACAGAGGAGCAGGAGCGGAAGCGCGGACACTTTGCACCAGTGAAACATCCTTCCTTGTGATTGATCTGCCCTTCACTGCTCTCCCTCCCAGACACCGACATCCCGCATTGCCATTTTGCACCAGACCCAAGCTAGAGCTTCTCGTAAAGGAAACTGTCTAAAAGTTATCTGCATACAGCTGAAAACCAACTCCATGTTCCCCAAAGCAGCCATCCAAAATGAATACAAAAATAATGCAACAGCTCTAAAAGAAAGATCAAATACTTTGCATTCTGGCTGAGTCATGTGCATTGCCAAGCTGAGCCACAAGCAAGGACGTGGTCAGTTCTTTCCCCATGCAGCCCTCCTTCCTCTCTACCTGTGGCTGCAGCAGGTAGGAGACAAGTCTGGATAAGGGGAGGGGAAGGGAAAAATAAATAAGAGTAACTCAACTCAAACAATCAGATCAAGTTGAAAACAAACATATAAGCATAAAATCAAGTAACTAACCTTTTGCATAAGAGTTTAGGTTCACACACACATACACACGCACACACAATGTTAATATGATACTGTGTTGTCATATTAACACAAGGTTTTCCAAGGACAGTAGTAACAGCATAGTCACTTTTTTTTTTTGTAAAGCAGTAACACAGCTTACTCTCTGTAGACATTTTACTAAATTCTTATCCTAATAGCTTTTCAATAAATCACTAGCAGAAGATGAAATAAAAGACAGCAAATGCATAAGCTTTGAAAACCAGACAGTTCAAAAGCACCAGAGAAATAAAGCTATAGTAATCAATACAAAGCACAAATAATCCAGTATCTGAATTTGCATTACTCAAGCTCAGTAACAATGTAGACAATAGACATAAAACCTTGACTTCTACCAATCAAAATATTAACTATACAACTCCGCACATTTAACAGAATCCTTTTATTTTTTGTTACTGCTTTTTCAGCTACGGATCTGTTCAGATTTTCATAAGCTTTGCTTACCTTTCAAATTTCATTTATACTGCTAATAAGAAAAAACAAATTTCTTCTTCAATTATAACAATAAAAACCTTTAATACAAAATAAAATCTTCAATGTGAAAAATATTTTCCATCATTAAATCCTGAAAAAAAAAATCAAATAGTCCCTCTAGAAGAATGGAAAGAATATAAGTAAAGGTCGCTGCATTATGCGTAAGTATGCATTTACAATCTCTTTTTTATTTAATGTATTCTAAGACAAATCAACTGCCATAGTAAATAACCCCTTGACAAGGACAGCCTAATCCTTAGCTCTCAGAATCACGCACTGCATTGCAAGAACAACACAAGAAACTTTGGGTACTTACAAACTCCCTCTTCTTGGAAGGCTCAGTTCCTTCTGCAAAAGGAAAAAAAAAAAGCTATGTTACACTAACCATAAAACTTTCTTTAATCAGAAGCAGCTTTGCTTCAACAAGTATGGCAATCCTCCAGTCCCATCGAAAGACGACAGACAAAAACAGGTTTAGTTGGAATGTAATAAAAGATTATTAAAGATTTATAAGACAAAGTTTTATATACACCATATTCTGCTTATTGCCTTCTATTTTAAGTTAGAAGTTAGAATAACTCCAGCAATATTTCAACATAGAGGGAAAAAAAAAAAAAAAAAAAAAACCTTGGTAGTCGGGACCATGATGTATTGGTAAACATGGTAAAACCAACACAAGTCAACGGCAAAGAAATGCTAATTTCTTTCCAGCACCTGTTGTTTGCAAAAGATGTTAACAAGAGGATCAAATCCTATATAGGCCACCATCATCACCACAGATTTTTCAGTACTACATATAGGGTTTTTTTTAAATATTTTTTATCTATAATGCATTATCACTACAACCTTCCACAGAGTACCAGTGTTACAGAACTGTTATGCAAACGATTCTAACATTTTGCTGAAGATAAGAGTTAAACTACTGTTGTCAGAATGATTACATGATCTGATAGCCAACTGAGAATTAGAGATAAACGTCCTACTAGCATTTTGAAGTAGGAGAAGACCACAAAATCCATGAAACTCTGCCCATTAAAAGCAAGACTTGACAAATCTAAAGACTTCTTCTAAAAGAAGTCTTCTAAAAAGAAGACTTAACAAACGCAGCATTCAGAAAATATTTAGAAAAATGAGACATGGAAAGAGATAAAGGAGAACCAAAAGCACACCACTTTTGAATATTTGTAAAAACAGAGTGACAACCTCCTCTCTAGACAACTACTCCCATGTTTCAATATAATTTCTCGTATTTCAACTCGTACTTATTGACATTTTTGGGGAGGCAATTTTCACATGTTTTTCATATCTCATGTTGTCTTATGCTTTTGGTTCTCCTTTATCTCTTTCCATTTCTCCTATGAATTTACTTTATAAACTCTGCATTGGTCAAGTCCTCTTTTTAACTGCATTTAGCATGAAGTCCACCAGGCTTTTATAAAAAAGAGGAACAACTCTGTTGCACCTAACAGGACACAAAGACAGATACTTTTAAAGTCAAAGAGTAAAGAACATAAAACGAGGTTGCATAAAGAATGGTTCAACTTTGAGAATGTCTATGATCACTCACTTGCATTATTTTATGTCTACCCTAAATGTTCCCATGAAAGACTTTCTTAAAGCATGCAAAAGATAACCCATTTCCATTCGAAAATAAATCAAATGGAATAATCCCAAAATTACCTTTAAAAAGTAAATATTGAAATATATATGTTGGCATATCCATTACATGTGCTATTTTCACAGACATAGTTAGAGCTACTAACCGGACAATACACATGAAAATACTATTGAATAGATAAAAATAGCTCAGTCACCTTAGGAAAGCCTGTAAGGGAGTGAATAATTACATATTCTTTACAGAGTTTTAAATGGAGTGCAGTAAATAGGGCAGGGGCTGCTGACTGAATGATAAGGTTTAAAATACCAAGCAGCAGCTCAAATCCTGAGCACCACCCATCCTGTTCACTGAATGAGGCAGGAAAAAATAGTGTGAAACAATGTAATTAGAGATCCTGAGGCACAGGCTGAGAGAGCAGAATCAGAGGCCTTAGTAACAAGTTCCCGCACTTCCTAGGAAGTTCCAGGCAACTGTTCACAATTTGCAATTTAACACAACAGCTTTTCACATAACACATGCTTGCGTACAGAAGAGCTGTGACACCTGCATACAGTATTGCATTATGAAGCTGTGCAATTCTGCGCTGAAAACGTCATATTCGTTAAGAACAAAATGTAACTGCAGTTTAGCACCCATGTCCTTCCCTTTGTTTGATTTTCCTTTAGGTATTTATAATGCCATTGTGTTCCACTCTTAGCAGAAAACTTTTATTGTAATTCTAAGCACAGTCCCACTGCAAGGGACAATAATTGCAGAGATACTGCCAAAAAGTATGAGCAACAATCATACTTGGTTTTGCATCTAGTCTAACAGTAGTCCAAATTAACACTTAATCTGAATTTGTTTCTTATTATTTAGATCTCCTTAGGCAAAAAACAAGGCTTGCTGGTTTAGTTTATCATTACAGCTGCTTAGCAGATGACAGACACTGCCTTTTGGGGACGCTCAGTCACACAAGTCCCACAGGTGCCATTCCTGAAGTGCCGCTGCTGGTCATCAGTGAGCGTCCAAAGAGGAGATCCCCTCCGCCTGCCTGCATGGACAGATGTGAGCACAGCCATACCGAGAAGGAAGTGAGACAAAACCCTGAGCGCGCAGCTTCCACATGCAGATAACAACACACTGCAAATATCATTTGTATGGCTATGGATTTTAAAACACCTTGACAACATAAACAGAGGAATGAAAAAACACACACATGTTTTCTGGATGATAATCAAGTCCTTGTTTTTCCGACACACCACAGGATTGTGGATGCCAGGTCCTGACTTCCATGCTTCTCCAGCTTGAGCCTCTCCAATACAAAATATTACCAGTAAACTGAACTCCCTTTTTCAATCTTGCATCAGGCTTTATTTTTACAGCTCACAAGTGATTTTTCACAGCACTAGGTCTCACCAGAGATTTCTGTGCAGAGTAAAAAGAAATAATAATAATTATATATATATCTCATATATATTACTGGCTGCATCAATGTAGACTTTTTTACTGCAGACAAGATTTGTCATTTGCCAGGAGAATAGTTGGCCTTTCCATAGTACAGGAGAGCTCCACAGCAGGGTCTATATAGAGTAGGTGGAAGCAGTGGAAACGCACGCTACATGCAGCTTTGGTGGGAAAAGAATCATTTATTTGAAAGGTGCATAAAACAGCTGTATAATTCACACTTCAAAAACGTATTTTTTACTCAGTTGCTCTCAGCTGTTCTGCTCACAGAACAGCTGCAGGAAAAAAAATGAAAGCACTGAATGGTGCCAGACTGCAAACCCCTCTGCTCTTCAGGCTTGGCGGCGTTGGGGTTCAGCTCCCAGCTACCTCGGAGGTTTTTTAAGAGATCTGTGCAGGGCTGTGGCAGATCGCTGTGGTAATGCACGAAGACCCGTGCACACCTAATTCAGTAACAGCTATTGTTAATCAGTTCCCTTGTAATGCTCTGTGCTTTTTACTATCGATAATGATTTTACAACCACAGATGCACTTTGATGCATTTTCATTCCCTGATCCTACACAACATTTCATCGTGGACAAACTTAATCAACATGGCAAGGTGCAGATGCCTAGTCTTATAAAAATCACTGACTGAATAAAGCACATAAATTATATTATTTAAACTCTGTTTCTGGTTAGTGAAGTAAGACTCTGACCCACAACAGAGTTTAAATAAAAAGGTTTACATAACAGTGGTGCCTTAGAAAACATCAACTTTGTTTCTTCCATGTATGACTAGTAAATTATGGAAAATTTAAAATATTAAATTTCTTTTCCTATAGAAGGGGAAGGAAAGAAATAATAATTAACCACTTGTTGCTGAGTTCAGTTTTCAAGAATCAATAAAAAGTTTGCAGGTTCATAAGATGTTGAATATGTCAAAGGAAACAGATTTTGAAACCACAGTGAAAATTTGCTCCATCTTCCAGGAACACTTGAAAGATTCTCAAATATTTGGATATCCTCTCAGAGGACTTTCAGTTGCCAGTGCAACACTCTG